AACAAAAGGCAGTTTTACCTGCCCATTTGTAGCTGGACTCAGCTAGTGAAAGCAGGCTCCAGAAATGTTCTGGGGAGGAATTCCCTGCCAAACTCCCCCCTCCAGATGAATGAATAAATAAAAAGCACAAAACCCCAAACATTTACATTGAAAACACCTGCAGAGCTGGAGAGGTGTGTGCTTTGGCACTCCCTTCCTCTCTGAAGGCTCTGAGAACACTCTCCTTGTCCCCAGATGTGCCCAAAGGGTGGCACAGAGTAGCCTCTGCAAAGAGGGAAAAATGAGGATTTGGCTATCTAGCAAACAGGAAAAAAAGTTGTTGAGACAACATACAGCAGGAGTTATTATTTATTTGTTTTAGGCACCAGCCTTCAAAATAATTGAAACTATTTCAGATGTTACCATGGGGTATTAACTTGAAAATTAGGATTTTTTGGTATCTGTAAGCTTCATTCCATCTGTTCTTTCTGGCCCATGTTTATGCTGTTGGTATCTGTCTGGTTGCTGTCATTGCCCAGGAGTGAACCTTGGCCTGGTTCATGCTTAAATAGAGTATTTTTTATTTGCTTGAGTCTAATCATGGGGGAAAAAATAAAGCTCTATTTTGTTCATACTGACATTTTAGAAAATATCTATTTAATTTACATTTTTGGTAGAATATCTCTATGCAGGATAAATGCATGGTAAGTGTAAATTGCAGGATTGCAACTGTAGTGTATAAAGAAAATAATTATGTTATTTGAAGGTTAGCCATATAATTTTCTTTTATTCTTTTAGAATGGCAGTTGTATTTCAGCTATGTCATATTTTCTAGCAATGAGGAATTTTTAATGGCTTCACTTAGGTACAGAGAACACGGTAATGGTCAGGAATTTGGCAGAGGACAGTGTTTGCTTTCACCACTGTGTGATTCATCAGAACTCTCGCAGGATGGTGGTCACAGAGCAGTGCTGCCAAAGGCGTCAGCAGCCTTGGACACCTTTACATTACAAATTTTAGTGACACAAAAAGGCTGTGGCAGCTGTCCCCACCTGGAGAGCATCACCCTGAGCTTGGTGGAGCTTCACTGTGCAGAGTTAACAGCTGAGACCTCGGAAGCATCAGAGGGGCACCAGGACAGTGCCACACCTGAGCTAAAAAGCCCAAATGCTCTGCAGGGCTAAATGGGCTCAGGACACAGAGGAGCAGCAGCAGCTCTGATGTCTGTGTAAACAGAGGCTCTCACAGCTCTTTGTTTCTGCAAAGGCTTTTTAATAACAAAGTGAAAAATCTGCTGCCCTTCAGGATTTAATAATGAGTGCACCTGCACTGCTGCCACCGTGAGCTGCTTTAGCTGGCTGTGGATTGGAGGTGTGTGTGCCTTTCCAGTTGCCTCTGCGAATGTGTATAAAGAAAACCCTGGCATTGCAGCCCAGCTCTGTCTGTGAGCCACCAGGAGCTTAGGCAGCCACTGGAGTGTTTGTTTTATTGCACTGGAGAACAGGGAATCATAATACCACTCACTCTCCAGGATACATCTTGGTTAAGGACTTTACTGGTGTAGCTGTAGCTGGATATGTCCTCCTGGTGTAGCTGTGCTAGGTAAAATGATGTTTTCCTGAGAAAAATAGTACTTGAGAGCTCCACATGGAAAGTGCTGCATGAGAACTGCATAATGCAATTCCTTATGAGGAGGGAAACCATAGTCATTGTTGCTCTTCCCTGCAGAACTCAGACCACACCTCTCCCACTGAAGTCTGTGTGCTTTAGAGTCCCAGAAGAGGTTTAAGTTCTGTGATCAGGCTAATTTAATAGGAGAGGTTTAATTATTTGATACCACAGGAAAAAAATAGAATTACTGACTTTTGCATCCTTTCCAAATCTGACATTTCCAAGCAGGTCTGTGGTGGCAGTCTCAGAGGACCCGTGCAGTCCCCAGCACAGCCAAAGGATAACCTGTTGCTAAGCAACCAATATAAGTGTGCTGCTCAACATTTATTTCATTTGGAAAGAACGTATTCTTTAAGTACTTCATCTTAGCTACCGAGCACAAAGAGTTTTCTCCTTGTTTTTCTGTAGCTGTGCACATGTGTGAAACAGCCAATTTGCACAACCAAATGTGCACTCCCAAGAACAGGAGCCAGAGAGGAACAGGCAAAATGGAAGGTATAAAAAACTGGCACGAGTGCTTTAGCCCTTTCTGAGATCAGCATCCTGAACTTGCCTCTTTGTGTCTTTGTTCAGCCTAATTGGAAACGGGATGCCTTGGAGCATGGACGTGGCAGAGCTCTCTGCAGGGCTCTCCAGTGTTTGTTGGTGCAGCCTCTTTTGAAGATGTCAGGGTTTTCCCACTGACACAAAGAAACACTTTTCACCCCTGCAAGCAAAGCCAGAACATAACACTGAATTTCCATCCTGAAGACTCCAAATCTCAGATTCTGCACTTCAGAAAAGCAGCTAAAGAGCTTCAGAAAAGAGCACTTACTGCCCTCCAATTAACACCACTTTCCCTTTAGTGCTTGTCCCTACAGTGAAATGAAACCCTCTAGATCTGCTAGACTTTTGTGTGTGTGTCTGAAATCAGCCTTGGCTGAACAGCCTCTAGCTGGATTGTCCTTGGAGGAGTTGTTAGTCATGTTTTCCAGTTCAGAGTACATTTGGTGCCTGAGTATCTCAAGAGCTTTTTGTTCCCAGCCAGTGAAGGTCTCTCTGCTGCTGGCCCAATGGCTCATGCTGGACACAGACAGACGTCTCACTGCCCTCTGACCAAGTGGCATGGACACACACTTTGCCTTCAACTGGTGTGGCTTCCAAATGATGTGTTGTGACAAATGAAATGCAGCGTGGGAGTACTACAGTGTTTGCAAGCTAAGCTGTGTCTTGGGAGCAGTAACTAACAACTACAGCTTTTTTTAGAGCTGAGGAAAATTAAGCTCGGTGTTGAAGAAACGCAGCTGAGCTCCGCATGGAATCCTGCAGCTTTGGTGACTGAAGACTCTTGGTGTCTTGGACTATTCAGGTGCACAAATCTCTCTGTGCCCCTCTCCCTCGCTTCACTCTGATTTCTGTGCTCAAGCAGGGCATTGTCTTGCAGACATCTCTTCATTGGAGGTCTCACTTTAAGTGTTTGCCTCCCATCAGGATGCAGAGCTCCCAGAGCTGAATCAATACTTCTTTCTTCTGTCAGCCATAGTCCATGCAGGAGCTCTGCTGTCAACAGGGTGACACTGCAGCGCCACATCACACAGCCTGGCTGTCACACCTGGGGGCAGGAGAGACAATGTGCTGCTTAACCTGGCAGCCTGGCCATGAAGAGATTGAGTTGGGTTTGAGACAGAAATAATTGTTATTTTCCATCACAGGGTTTTGATCTGTTACAGCAAATTGTTGGCTGTCTTGCTTCATTTAGGGAATACTTTCCCAAAACTGCTGCTTCCTATTTTTTTGGAACATTCAGTGACCTCTTGCTGCAGAGAAGTACAAGATCAACCAACCAACCAACCAACCAACCAACTGACCAACCAACCAACTAACCAACCAACCAACCAACTAACTGACCAACCAACCAACTAACTGACCAACCAGCCAACCAACCAACCAACCAACCAACCAACCAACCAACTGACCAACCAATCAACCAACCAACAAACCAACTAACCGACCAACCAACTAACTGACCAACCAACCAACTAACTGACCAACCAACCAACCAACCAACTGACCAACCAACTAACTGACCAACCAACCAACCAACTAACCAACCAACCAACCAACCAACCAACCAACCCTGTCACAAGAAGCTGACATGAAAAACAACTCCTATGAAAGTTATCTAACCAAATCCAAAGCAGACTTGTTTAATGAGTGAGCAAGTAGGGAAATGCAAGAGTCTGGGGGTTTTTTCAAGCCCAAATAAAATACAGAGGTCAGGAAAAGGATAAAACAAAATGGGCCAAGATGTTTATTTTTCGAGATGCTTGATTTCAAGTTGCAAGATTTACAACAGCATTTGGGTTTGGGGAAAAAAATCAGCATTTTTCACTAAAAAAAACTTATCAGGGAATGGTTAACAAACACTCGCAAGAGGACGGTGTGTGAGTAACATATACTGAAATAAAACTACAGGGGGAATAAATTACAGACAAAAATACAGCACAAATAAAGAGCAAGGGTATCTTAAGCAAAGTGTAATTCTAAATTGAGTAAAGGGCAAAAGATGAGATGTAGTTTCACAGGAAATCTGAAATAGCTCCAGTTAAGCCTAACTTAGGATGCAGAATATGGTATATTTGAAATACATCTATGTATTCCTGTATATTTGAGGCATCTTGAGAGGCTGTAAGCACCATTATGCAGTAGCTTGTGTAAATATCCTGAGTGAACCAATGATGAGGAGGGGGAATATAAAATGCAGAGCACAGATTTGGCTAAAACTCAATATTTTGGAGGGGATTTAATATAACTTTAAAGAAAATGCAAGAAAAATAGAGAATAGATGAGGATCTGTGATTCTTCCAAGGGTATATTATATGCCCTCTACAAATAATTTTACGACCTAAGAGGGAGAAAGGAGGAAATTCAAGTCAGCATGCTTAATACACTTATACTAACTCAATTTTATTATAATAATATTTTATATATTTATATATATAAAATATTCTATATATATATTTATATATTAATATATAATAATATTTTTGACATTTTAGATGCTGTGTAAAATAAATCCCTTCATAGTGCCGATATAAACAAATATTTTCCCTTTGCCCTCGGTCAGCTGCTCAAGTACTTTCCCTTTGCCCTGGGGACTTTCTGCTCAAACTCTTTGTTCTTTTGAAGAGCCACTCCTCTGGAATTAGGCTCCCTGGTTGGCCACTGTATGCCATTCTCCTGATAGGACAGCAGGTGGATCTGGGCAGCAGCCAAAGGGGACAAGCTGTGACCCAGGGACAGCAGGGGTAGCAGCACTGACACACTAAACTTCAGCACTGGAGGAGAATTTCTCCTCTGGCACTTCAAAAATGAAAATTGACATTCATAGCCACATTCTACCTAAGGAATGGCCCGACCTGAAGAAGGTAATAAGAGTTTAGATATTCAGTGCCTTAGGTTATCAGCAGTCATTTCTACCAATGGGATTTTTGAAAGAACAAATGAATGAGGGGTTTTGGGGTAAATATCTCTAGGTTTTTGTCTAATTTGGGATATTTTTCCAACTGTAAAATATTTGTATTTCAACACTTTGAAAAGACTCCAGTCAGAAAAGCATGTAAAACTGGGGTCTGTTCCCCATTTTTTATTTATTCTGAAGCAATTCTTAAAGTTTTCCTTGAGTTTTTTGAGACACAAAATTTTTGGATAATAAGGTATAAATTCCACTTTCTTGATAAAAATAGAGCTGTTCTGTTCCATTACTAAATGGTACTCACTTTTGTTTTAAATAAAATAAATAATCAAATATTAGACAAAATTAATGTTAACTAAGACAAATTTATTCACATCATTATACCCACAGGCATGAAATCATTAACTTCAATGGGAGTGGGGTCACTCGAAGTACAGCTAATTGATCATGATAATTTTACTAATATCTGTTCTTTTTTCAGTTACTAGAAAGAAGTAGCCTGTTGTATTTAAAACAGAAAATCTCAGTTGTCAGAGCACTGAAGCTATAAGTGAATTTCTGTTAACTTATTGTTGTTGTTGTTGTTATTGTTGTTGTTATTATTCAGTGTCATAAATTTATTCTTGTCCACAATGTTTTTGTGGAATGCATTTTAGAATGAAAAATGTCATTTAGGTTTTAATGTAATCAATCTGAAAGGATTTCATATCTATTAGCTCTGCACTGCTGTGATTTTAAGCAGTCCACTTTCAGTCAATATTAGGGAGAGAGCAGCTGGGAAATGTAAACAGCATATTAGAAAAAAAAAAGTCATGAGAAAACCTGGCATTGAAAACATACATAGGATTATTTCTTCATTAGTTGTGAAAAATAACATCATTATGCACAAAACCTCCTGGAAACGAATGTTTGTTTCCTTGTTTGGCTAGGAAGGTTTTTATAAATATCTATTTGAACACCCTATTTGTAATAATAACAGCTCCTGATGAAAAACACGTACACTGGATAATGTAGGTGAGGCTACAGATACTTTTATAATAATTATGTCTGTTTTAAATGGATAGGAGGTTAAATATCCATACTAGAAAGACAGGTTGCTTTTACACATTTCAGATTTTGTTGTCTGTGCAATAACTTCATAAAAACACCTATAGAATTCATTCTGATGTTATATGGGTTTTTTAAAAAAATTAAATATTTTTGTCTGTAGGTACTTTAAAAGGGCAATAAGTTCACTGACTTAAAATGACCCCAAGAATTCCTTGATGTTCACAGATGTACATCAAGACTGAATTCACTAATGTTAGACACTGTGGGCCAGCACTGCATTTCTTTAAACAGAGATAAAGAGGAAAATACCAAATTTTTAAAATTTAATTTCCACCTGCTAGGTTTTTTTCCCTCTGTTCTGAGTGATTCCATGATTTATTAATGGGCTCAGAGTAGAAAACAACTCTCAGAATTCCCTGGAGTCCTGTGGAAATCCAAGCCATTAACACAGATCATGCAAGGAAAACCAATGAGGCATCTTAACATGCACACATTTATTTAGTGCTAAACTTCATGTTTCCAGCTTTGTAAATACTGGACCTTCAAACTAGAAAATTCTATTGTCAAGGAACTGGTTTAACAGCCTAGGAAAATATCACAGGTATAGAAAATCACAGAAAAAAACAGATAGGGACTGTCAATTCCTACAACTAATACCTGAGGGGAAGAAAGAATAAAATAAGTTCAAAATCAGTGAATTTCTCTATTGCCTATGGGCTCCTTCAGTACCCATTTCAGGTGCTTGTTTTCTGCTCAGCTTACAATTGCAATTAGCATAGATCTAGTTTATAATTCTCATTAGTTGTCACTCATTAAATTTCCCAAAATTTCAGTATTTTTACATGCATATAAACCTCCAGATGTGTAAATTTAAATAAAATTTACATAGTTTCATAGTTAAACAGAGCACACAGCCTCAGTGAGTGCATCTCTGGCTGAGGTCAGGAGCTTTGGCTCTTCACACCCCCATCAGGAGAGCTCACAGTGGCACTAAGTGATGATTTGGTATCACAGGAAATTCAGGACTGTGTCCAAATCGTTTACACTTCTGCAAAACAAATGCCTGCTCTTACTGAGTTTCATTTCTAATGTTTCTTTTTTGGAGAAATGGGAATTGTGAGCATTGTTTTCACCCAGAGATTTCAAGAGTTCATTCCTTTCTAATTGATAATTTATGGAAGTAAAAGGAAATCAGCATTTTATGTAGGTTTTGCAATTTTTGCATGAACAATTCTGAATCACTCTGGAAGAATCAATGAGCATCCAAGCTTCTCCTTTTTAGCTTCTCTTCCCTGTTTAAATATTAATAGACAAGAGGCTGACCTTCACTCCTGCTGCTGAGTCATGGAAGCTGAAAAGTGGAATCAATGCATCTTTGTGCTAATGATTAACTGATCACAGATTGGAAAGTTGTCGGCTCCATTTTCACACCGCCAGATGCTTAATTTCATTTTTTCAGTGTTAAAATTATTTCAGTTAGAACCTCAAAGTAGTAAGCAACTTTAAACATTTTTAAAGAAGTTGCTTAAAAATGTTGTTGAACTGGAAATTAAAATTCCAGCTGTACAAATACCATTAGTCCAGTCCAGCTATACACTTCTGATGTCAGTGAGGCTACTCTGGCTCAGAGCTCAGCACATGTAAGGGTTTCTCCTGAATGAGGTATTTTTGTAAGAACTGCTATTATTATTATTATTATTATTATTATTATTATTATTATTACTGCAGAGAGCTAACTAGCCCTGGCTTTCTCTCCTTTCCTCCACAGAGATATGGATATGGTGGATGGGTGCAGCTGGATCATCACTGCAAGGTTTGGGCTCTTTGGTGCTCAGAGCTGATCTTGTGTCATCATCAGGAATAGAAACTCATATATTGGAGAAGCAAAATGGCAATAAGATTGGCTCTGTTTTTGATACAGATTTCTCTAGAGGTCTATTTTTCCTATGAAGTAGTATCAGACCAAGTCCTAATAGACCCCAGCAGAACCTTTTACCTGAAGGATGAAACTCACACCCTCTTGTATGAACCAGCATCCATTCTTCTTCATCATTTCACTTTAACACTTGGAATGGATAGCTCTGAAAAAGTCTTTCCAAAAAGAGAGGTCAGGCTAAAGCAGATTACATACAGATTTGGGTTGAGTTAGACGCAGTCATGACAAGCAAACCCAAAAGGAACTGATATTTTAATAAACAAGAACAAGCCACCTGGTAAACCAAAGCATGGATGGCACAGCTTTTGGGATACATGGCAGCTGCAGGAAGGAGACAGGGACTGGACACATTTCTGGTGATTTTGTTACAGGTCTGGTGCTAAAATTCTGTGCTAAAAATAGTTTGCAGAGGAACTTTGTGGCAAGTCAATAATGGCCTTACACACTTTTCTGAGAATTCCATCCAGCCTACTTCTGTCTGGAAATGCTGCATGACAAAACATGCATGGCAAAACAAAATCCTGTTCAGACATGTGGAGCTGGGGACGTTAACTCCTAAGATTTAAAAATCTCCAAAGGCCTCCCATATCATTCTCTGAAGAAGCAGAAGTGTCAAACTGGAAGAAAATAATTACATGCATATTTTAAAAGTGCATTTTGCGATGTGACTGAGTAGTTTGGTGAGGGGAGAATTTTAAATGTAGTTTGCTGAACTAAATCAGCCTGCAGGACTTAATTTTTAAATGTCTCTCTCTTAACTTCCACATACATTAATCAAAACAAATATTAGGTAATTTTTAGGATGGGATGGAATAGGGAAGTATAGAATAGAACAGTAAAGACCAGGTCATCTATTCATATGTGATGAAGTGCTTGGTTCTACTGTGCCTTTTGCTCACACCCCAATTTTTTTTTTTTAATTGGACAACCTGTAGCAATACACTAAACTTTTCTTAATGCATTTGAGTGTATGGCTACAGTAAATCTCTCCATCAGGTTGGAAAACCAGTTTTACAAGAACCTGAAGTATTTCACCAGGGGATCAGGACCCTGCAGTTGGAATATTTCACATAATTTTCACAACCCATGATACAGCTAACAAGTAACTTGACAGGTTGCCAAGGCAGCACACTTAGATTTGTTGAGGATGGCTTTAAAATATTCATTAGGACAGTATATTTGTGAATGATGCATGAAGTTAGTAACAAATTCAAGGTTAAGAACAGTTTGAGTTCTCAGAAGAGGGGGGCAGAACCCCCCCTGGCTGGGCACACTGGTAATAAATATTCTGATTTAACAGGTTCTTTTCTGTAGAAAAATTGACAGGTTCCTAAGTAAGACCAATTTTGTGAGGAAAAATAAAGTGGCCTTTGGAGAGAGCGAGAAATCCCTTTTTTTGAAGGGCCCAAAGACTGCCTTGCCCTCAGCTCCTGTTTACTGGGAAGGTGAAGGAATGGCTGCTGGGTTTTCTTGTGTGGATTTCAGTTTTCACCTGCAGATGGAGTGTGTTCTCTGCCCAGGGCCCCTGCACTGACCCAGCCCACATGCACAGCACCAGGGCATGCTCTGCCTTTCCATTTACCCCTGCAGCAGATTAAAACAACCTGGAAATACTCAGGGCTTGCAGGTTTTGGTTGTATCTCATCCATTTGTGTCAGCAGAAATCCTGTTGTGTCTGTAGCAGCTGGTGGGCACCCTAATTGTAACAGACAATTTCCCTAATTTGGTGACACTGCCTCTCTTTGAACAATTCACAAATCAACCAAATATGACATTTCAAAAGTTTCCAGGGTGATAAAGGAACACATTTCGTGACTCTGATAACATTTTGAACTTCCTAGGTCTGGAAATTGGTGGCATATAAGAAAGTTTTACACTAATTCAGGTCATGGTTTTATACTGTGTATAAGTTTTGTTTGCGAGTTTTTTTTCCCCGAATTCTTCAATTTTTTTTTTTCTTACAAAGGAGAAAATGTAATCTGAAGACAACACAATAGGTCTCCTTTTGTCTGAGTTATCACTGGTGATAAGAAATCACTGGACTGAAATTAACTGTGTTACACAATTATTTCTGTAGTTACTGGAATCATTGTGATGCTATTGAACACACACATACCCAAAGGGAAAATTTAGCACAGATTTAATTAGAGCATTGTTTTGAGGTCAAAATTTGGTTTGAGGATAAACTTGGATTAAGGTACCTGGTATGTCTTCCAAATAAATATACAGTGATGTACATTGCAAAAGGAAAGGGATTTTTTAATATAATTCTGAAGAATTAAATCAGAACTACCAATGACTGTTTTATTCATATCTATTTTTAAAATAGTTTCTGTTTAAAAATACCTACTGAATAGAAATAAAAGATAAAAATTTTGCCACTGTATTTCTGTAAGGAGCACAATATATCAAGAGACTATAAATTAGCAGGTACTACTTTGTCACATTTATAATATATGAAAATGTCATTTCACAGGGACAGGCAAAGATGATGAAGGATGGAAAGGTTTTTAGAGTTATCCAAGAGAACTGCTGGGATCCAGAAGTACGGATTAAAGAGATGGACCAGTCAGGTACAGTTCCACAAAGGAACTCAAATAATTCTGCTTCACTTAGAGTAACAACTTCTCTGTCAGTACATCTGAAAGTGCTCAACAACAATATCAAAAAAAGGTTTAATATACTAATTCCTTGGTTTTAATTTGCTGATAGTAATTGGAAACTGATATTCTTTATATTTAGAAGGAACCTGTGCCCATAACTTTCCGCATTCTCAGTAGCAACTTATTCCCCACTAGAATTTATTAATTTTGGTGGGATTTAGGACACTAAGGAACTCATTGACAAAAGTAAGGATGACTGACCCTGGACTTGAAATGGCACCATACATTCCAGTTAAAACATTCATGAAGGAGGAGGAAGACCCTTCATTTTTTTTCCAAATATTAAAAATAGTCTTTTTACACATAGGATTTCTTGTATGTCTGTTTCCTTTTCTAATACCTTTTTTCTCTTTATCCATGTTTCAGCCTCACTCTATGTTTTTGCTGTAGGACGCTGAGCCTAGAGAACTGGTACAATTACTTTGTCAGAAAAGGGTTTTCCTCATTTAGAAATTTAGCCAGATGCCAAATTTGCAAATTTATTTTCCATCATGTTCCATGCAAGCCCCTATATAAGGTTGGTAAAATGGGAGACTGAGAATGAGGGAAGAAATTTCTAGGCTGATCAATTATTTTTGCTAGTTCTTATTAACACTGTAATTCCAAATTACTCTTGTAAGAGAAATATTATGTTACTAAAAGATTATTTTTTCTTAGATTGAGGCCCGAATAGTTCCTACATCAGTTTCCCAGTAGACACAACTTATATATCTTCAATTTTTCATAAGGAACAAACACCTGGATTGCTTAAAATAACAGATATTGTACAAGTAGCATCTTTATGATTATTGCTTCCTCCTCTCAGGCCTTATCACCCTCAACAAGCACATGAAAGAGGTTGTAGCCAGCAGGGAGTTGGTCTCTTCTCCAAGATGACAAATAATAAACAAGAAGAAACTGCCTGAAATTGCACCAGGGGAGGTTTAGATTTGATATTAGCAAAAATTTCTTCCCTAGAAATGTTGTCAAGCCCTAGAGCAGCCCTGGTGTAGTCCCCATCCCTGGAGGGATTTAAAGGATGTGCAGATGTGGTGCCTGGGGACACAGTTCAGGGGTGGGCTTGGCAGAACTGGATTCATGGTTGGAATCAATGCTCTTAGAGGTCTTTTCAACATAACTTATTCTGTGTTAGGAGATAGTCTGGGTTATTCTTCTTAGGGAGGTTTAGTGCAACACACAACATAGGCTAGCTTGGGAACCCACCAGGTAGTGAGCACAAAAAATGCAAACACAATTTAGACAATTTTCATCTACTTCATTTTCACCCTGGAAAATCAGTATTTGAAGCTCCAACCATTAGACATTTAATGGGAATGCCAGAAAGCCTTTGCAGACTGTGAAATATGCTGCCTTGTCACAGAATCATAGAATCATGGCCTGACTAGGCTGTAACGTTTCTCTGAGTTAGCTCAGGGATTTTGGGGATTACCAAATCACTCAACTACACAGTGGATCATAAATAGCCTTTGGGCATCTTTCTCTTTCAGATATTTCCCCCAGCACTAATGGCAAGTTTCTACAAAGCAGCTCTGCCCCATATGTTTGTTGTAGACAAAGGGAAAACACAGGAGGATTTTTTTTTTAAGTTTTTGCAGCAGTTCTCCAGAAAAGAAAATGTATCATGAAAGCAGCATCACAATATTTCTTCATGGACTAAACAGTGCTCACTTGATTAAAAAAAAATGTAAACCTGTATGTTACAGCACCATCTGGTGACTTGTGCCCTAAAAATGTCCCTTTTTATTACAGCACTCCAGACATACAGGTATCAGCCAATTAATTATGTGGGAGGGAAAAAAAGCCTTTGTGTTTTTTATTCTTTCATTCTTACTGCTCAGCTAATGATAAAGACTATGGACCACATTTATTCCTTTTTGGTTTAGAAAGCTCTAGCTACTTAGTTCAGACTGCTTTCTCTTACACGGGCTGAGGTAGATTATACCCAAAATTTAACCTCCAAACATGGCATAATTCTGGGACAAAGATGCAAGAAGTCTCCCAGCTGAACTAAACTAGAATCAGTCACTGAAAGTTATTTTTAACTCAGAGAGATAAGTTGGTTAAAAGGCTTTGTTTGTGCAATGCCCAAGAAATCCTGCCAGTAATAAGAAAGGTCTCCAGTGGAGCAAGGAGACTCAATTAGTTCTCCCAGTCATATGTCCTATGTCTAATTGATGTACATACTTCTATCTTGATCCACTCAATAAAGCAAGCTATCCATGTAACTCAATAAAACAAGCTGTAAAAGAAATTACCATCACAGTTCTGTGACACAAATCATCACAATTTTGTCTGAGAAAATATATCAGTTCATCCTAACTGCCTTTCCTTGTTATTTTCTCCTTTGTAAAACCCTCTGAAGAGAGTAAAAATGTAGAGGCTTTTCTGTGCTGATTCTTCTTCCTAAAGCTAATGTCTGGGAACAGTCAACTTGGAAATGTATCTTTAAGGTTTATGTTAAATTTGCTCAGAAGTGTAAAAATGGATTGAAAGCAGATACAATGGTCATTTCTGAAAACATGGAGAATGTTCTCAACAGACTAAACAAGTGCCCATATTGGTGGATGATCTAACTTGGATAACTCAGTATTTATGTAATTTTGCAGACCTAATCCTTACCCCTAAACCTTTGCTGCTGTACATAATATTAATCAGATCTTGTAGCAATCTGAGTCATCTTCTCCTCTTGTTTCCTACTTAAACTTGTGAGGAGGAGGATAAATCATTTAAATCATTCAAATATTTTGGCAAGTCATTTAGAGTTCTCCTAGAGTTCATTCTGCTGGAGGTTTTTTCTGCCATCTTTTGTTCTAGTAGTTTTACTACTAACAACCAAGTTAAATTTTCTAAAGCATGACAAGATATGTGCAAAAATACTATAAACAAACCTATAAAAACACCAAAACAAAACAGTTTTGCATGTAACTATTTTGTGAATTCCTAATTACTCTTTATTGTTTATTTTGTTTGTCTTCCAGGTTTGTTGTTTTCACTCTGTAACCTGTGATACAAAATATTATAATAGAGATTTGTGTTTGAGCAGAAACAAAACAACATGGACTTAACTCTTTTTATTTTTAACATCAAAGTTATTTCTGAAAACAGGCAGATTTTTTTATATTTACAATCTCAGTAGTCCAGACACAAGATGAATGAAACCTAACACAATTTAGCTTTGGGAACACTTAGGAAAGCGTTGTTTAACAACAATCGTTGACATAATGTTATTTATCTTTGAGCTAATACATTTATTTATTTAATATATATGAAAAATTCACCCCAAAGTAAACCTGAGTTACTGTATTTTGTTGGTTTAATGTCAGTTTCATTCATGTAAGAGTAATACTAAATTGCTATTTTAATTTTTTGTACATGTGCATACTAAATCCTTCTAAAATCAAAAAAACTAATTTCCCAAATTAGCTAGTTTGAATATGGTAGTGTTTTTTCTTTCTACTTAGCAAAAATATCCAGATCCTAATAAATTGATACACTATGAGTTTTATTGCTGTGATCCTTAATTTAAAAAAAATAATAATTTCTCTATGTCACTGTTAAATCAGTCTTTCTTATCATTAAAGCTTTTACATTCTGCCTCTCAAACCAAAGTACTTTCTTATTTACAACATTTTCTCAAAAACAAAAATGAAGCATTAATATTTGCTTTTTCTTCCTCAGGAGTCACCGTCCAAGTCCTGTCCACAGTCCCTGTAATGTTCAGCTACTGGGTAAGTTCCAACTAAGATATTGCATAATTCATATGTAGCAACGTTTTTAAAATACAAAAGCATCTTCCTACAAATTGAAGTAATCACTAGAACTGTCTGCTGTGAAAAAGAAAAGGCAAAAAGGGAGTGCAGGTGTGAGAAGATGTCTGCAGGATGTCCTGGCAAAGCTCCACACCAGAGCACACTCAGTAAGAAAAGATGAAACAACTGAATTCCTTATGGGGGCAGCTGGAAATGGAGAGAAAATATATCCAAAATGAATCCATGGTTAGCAGACAGACACATATGTACACATTCCAGAAAGTTAGACATCAGTCAGTACTTTCTGAAGGAAAAAAAAAAAAGACATAAAGGATGCATTTGTGGCCTTGTCCCACTTTCTTTTAAATGTGGCATGGGACTCATTAACCTAGAATGCTTTGAATCCTAAAATTCAGGAGCAAATTTAAGTTCCTATGTTCCCCATGTGGTGATCTTGAATGCTTCAAAGAAATAAAGACAGGATGAGGAGATAAATCACAGCAAAATGCTGTTCTAAATACATTCTGGATGTGACTTCAGCAATGTGCACAGGTCAAGATGCTTATATGTAAATGGATTTGTGCATTTAGAACTATTGTGCTAAGCCCACATATAAGAAATACCATTGATTTTCATCATTTCTAGTTAGTAACTCCTCTTCAAAACTTTATTCTGGTATCTAAGGGAATATTTTCCATTAAATATGTATTGGGGGAAAAAAACCTAGAGATTGATTGCATGGATATTGCACTTCCTTGTTAGAATTATGGATGTTATCTCCTTCTAAATGTTAGAGAAGTTTGCTCAAGCTTTCTCTGTAGAATTCACATGCTCCAACATTTCACATTTCTTATTTTTATTTCTTCAGCTCCAGTAATAGGAGAGTAAATATTCATTGCTATGTATAAAAATTATATACTGAGGTTTTTGCACGGGGATAAACAAAACCAGGGGACTGCTTTACACAAAAGACCAGGTACTTATGTGCATCAGCAACCTGGGCTTTATTGCACTCATCCTGAGCAGTAAAGGCAACAGCAGTTGATGAAATATTCAAGAGAAAAAGCAGAACTGTACCCAGAGGTTTTAAAGCAAGGCAGAATTTAGCTCTATTTTCCAGCTATTCAGAGCTGTAAAGCAAATTTGGGTTCAAACCCTACCAGTTGTCTGCAATGACATTTATCCAGTAACTTCCAAAGGTGATAACATTTGAGAACTAGATTTATATGCACTGCTCTGCTTCACATCTTACCAGGCCAAACCTCAGGATACTTTAGACCTTGCCCAGCTGTTAAACAATGACTTAGCTGCTACAGTAAAGAAGCATCCCAAGAGGTTTGTTGGGCTGGGCACGTTACCCCTGCAAGCTCCAGAGCTGGCTGTGAGGGAAATGCAGCGCTGTGTGAATGAACTGGGCTTTCCTGGAGTGCAGATTGGATCTCATGTCAACGAGTGGGACCTGAATGCCCCAGAGCTCCACGATGTTTATGCTGTGAGTAGCTGTTGCTTTCCTTCTTTGGGGGAATTCTGTGATATGGAAATCTGTCTAAAAATGTCTGGGAGCACACTGAGTCATCATTTGAGCCTTCTAATCTGCTTAGTGATCAGAGAGACTCAGCTTTAGTTGTAAATCATAATTCTTTATAGGATATAATGGCAATGATACAAAACACTCTGAAACATATTTTAGAATAATGAATAACAAATTTTGTTTTATTATATGAGTTCTCACTGTAGATCTGCCTTCTTGATTTGTGAGGATAAGTGCAATATCAAATAAAGCACTGTTTGCATTTGAGTTCAAGTTTCTATATCCAATCCTATTGAAATAACTGATAAACCCCCCTGAGATTATCAGAGATAGCACCAAAGTACCACACAGAACTATGTAAACAGGACCAAAATTCCCAAACTGAATGTATTGATCATCAAATGAATTAATACATAGCATTTCTTGAATAGCCTGAGATCCAGATGAGGTGGTCATTTGTCTAAATTAGGGGTTTAATCAATGTCCATTCTGAATCTGTTTCTCAAGTTATTAGAGCTGTCAGCCTGGAATTGATTCACAGAGGTTATTTTGTAGGATGCTCAATTTATTCAGAAACTCTGTTGGTGCAGCACCTGGACTGCTTGTTTTTAGGGCCATATACAGTCAAATACCAACATCTGCCCTTGGAGATGCCCACATTTATGGGATCACAGCATGGCTGAGGTTGGGAGAGGCCTCTGGGACCACCTGGACCAACCCCCTTCTCAGGCAGGGCCACCCACAGCCAGATCCCAGGACCATGCCCAGGTGGATTGTAAATATCTCCAAGGATAGAAACTCCACAATCCCTCTGGGCAACCTGAAATTTCCTGATCTCCACCAAACCTTTTATTCTAGGGCACAAACAGTCCCAGTTCTCTCAGCATTTCCTTACAGGAGAGATGCTCAGTCCCTCCATAACTTGGAGCTCTATCCAGTAACTCCATGTCTCTGCTACTGAGATCCCTCTCTTCTTCTGGGATCTCTCTCTCTTGTACTGTACATCCTTCAGCTTATGTTTCACACATGTAGGAAGTTACCCCTTTCATTTTTAGAAACATCTCTGGATAATACAGATTATGAAATTAAGCCATATTGGACAATGAACTTTGCCAAACTACCAGGCCAGTTATTGAATTGCTATTTTTAGTTTACAAATGTAGATAGCAATTATTCTCCACGATCCAAAAGTTGCAGCTTTTATTTATGCATGTATGGGTAAATAAACCCAAATTTTTCAAATGTGTGACAATCTCCTTAGCAACAAGAGCATGTCCAGAAATACATCTGACAAAACAAAGTTGTTAGATCCTGGTTAAGCATATGAATGACTCTGATGACTGTGTATTTAAATTTAAGCACACAGTTAAATTACAGTCAGAGTCAGCATCCAACACTAGTCTTCTGTTTGCCTTTCCAAAGATGTCAATAGTTTTGGAAGAATTACTGTACTTGGGCAGAGATGGATTGTTGACAAGAATACAGCCAGATTTTGAACTCTTAGGAAGAATTAGGAATAATTTAACATTTTTTTAAGCTAGGTAGAGGACAAAATGAGACAAATGTAGTGCAACTCAATGAAAATTTCTGAATGCAGCTGGAACAATTCTGCAAAACCATTCTCAACTGAGTCTATAAGACAATATGGGAATTCATTCTCATACGTGTAATGAAACCAAAAGAATGTCTGCTTGAATTGATTTTATACCACAGGATGGCTGAAAAAACATAGCTGGAAAAGCATTTTTGTACTGCGTTATTCTGTGAAACACTTGGTTCACTAAAGAGATGTTATCATCTGTCCTTCCAGTCCTGTAGTCACAGGAAGAGAGTGAAACTGAGTGAGGACTTCAGAATATGGCCCAGAGGAGTAAATACAGCCAACTATTGCTTATAGTTCTTACTTGTGGGCCTATTTTCATTACTAGTACTACTGCAGGTCTAGTCAGTAGTAGTCATTGAAAAGCATGACTAAGATCTAAGATGCATTTTGCTATGATTAATCAAGATTCAGACTTTTTCTTTTTGCTGCAGGCTGCTGAGAAATTAAATTGCTGTCTCTTTGTGCATCCCTGGGACATGCAGATAGATGGGAGGATGTCCAAATATTGGTTTCCCTGGCTAATAGGTAAATGTATATTTACTTTGCTTAACCTACATTTATGAACTGGATTATGTCCAGGAGATTGCTGCCAAGTACAGTACAAGTACAGAGAAAATTACATCATTTTTCTGTCAAACATTCTTTTTTTTTAATCTAGTATTATGATTAAGTCTGTTGTGTAAACTCAGTAGTCATTTGTTTCTAAGCTTGTTTAGCTTTTCTTTTAAATACTTAGAATTCAAATTATTCACACTAGCAACAGAATATAGTATTCTCTTTTGCCCTAAATACAAAGAGCAGATAACAAGGAAGAAGTGAATCATCTCAGAAATTAGCTCCTCAAAAATAACAGGAGTAAATGAAGGAGTAAGCAAAACCAAAAATTTTTTTTCTATAATTTGTTGGGTTATTTCTTAGAAACAGGTTGATCAGAGAGGAAATAAATCTAACTTTACATCAGCTGTAGCTGAAAAAACATGTACTTTGAAAGCTCTCAGTAGATGTTGGATATTACCTAGTTTCCATTTTTCCCCCGTTTGATAGGTAAATCATAACACTGAATAACAGGAGCAGGGTTATTTTGCTACCCAGAAATGTTTAGACCTGATTCTACCCTCATGCATTTTGTTTCCTGTTGAGTTTTTTTTTCATGGTTTTGCACTGCCACCAGTTCTGAAAAGCATACACAACATAAATATAGTACACACATATATATGTGTATACATATATATGTGTGTATTATATATATGTTGTGTACATATATTCTGCTTGGAAAATCTTCCTGTCCCAATCACCAATGCATTATCTTGAAAAAATATCAATTAGTCTTAACCAAATTAGGCTCAAAACCACAGATTTAAGAAGAAAATAAAATTATTGCACTTACTTAACAAAGTGAATATAGAATATTTTCTTACTAAGCATAATAATGCTTTGCATCTGAGTGTATGGTAAAACATTAATAAAAATAACCTTTCCAGATGTTGGAAATAGCCGTTGTTTCCCCCCATAAATATGGGGGAACTCAGTTCCTGATTTCAAGCTGCATGTCTGAAGCTGGCTGTTTAAAATGGCATGATATTCTAAATATGTTGGGTGTGATCAGAAGCTGAGGCCTGCTGTAGGAACCTGAATTCCTATTCTCTTCCTAACTAGGCTTCCAACCCAGCCAGGAGCAAAGAGACAGATTAGTTCTAAACCATAGGACCTGGCATCATGTGGTAACCAAACCCCAAATCTGTGTTGGAATATCCATTTAACATATCTGCTCCACTTTCCACACAAAATAAACACACAAGCAGAGGGGAGAACACACCCTGGCATATTCCAGACTTGTCTCTGAGCAAGGATAATGGGAATCAGGCCTGCACAGGGTATTTCAGGACATATCCAATCTGTCTATATACCCATCTGTCCTAGTGGTGTGGAGTAAAAACTGGACTTAGAATTCAGAACACCTTCACTTCCAGGCCTGTGTCTTCCTTTCAGTTAATTAGAGTTCAACTCTGTGTCCCTCCAGTGGAAATAATGCATGACCTTTGGTAGTTGTCTGGCAATTATTACTTTTTTAGTTGGCTCAAGGCTAATGGAAGAAAATTAAAACAACATTTAAAAATCAAATAGGATTCAAATAATCAATAAAGCTCTTATACAATTAAGATGTTTTTCTTCATAGGCATGCCAACAGAAACAACCATGGCCATTTGCTCCATGATTATGGGAGGAATTTTTGAAAAATTCCCTAAGCTGAAAGTTTGCTTTGCACACGGAGGTGAGTAGTGCACCATGTGAAACTTCTGCTCCTTGGCTGAGCATGGTGCAGTTGTATTTTCTGGTCTCTCAGCTAATGGGGTCACCACGTGAAGCCTGCCACCAGCTGAGCACTGTCACCCCAAAGCAGACAGCCTGACAGATCAGCTGCTTTCATGAGCACTCTCTAGCCTGCAGGGTTTGCACTGGTACAACAGTTAAGGGAAAACAAAAAGGAAGGGCAGGCAGCAGGTGGTTTAAGGAAAAGGACAAGGAAGCAGCAGGAGGAATTTGGGCATTACAGTTGTGAAGAAGTGAGAAAAACAGAGACAGAAGCTAATGAAGGTAAAGGAATAAAAAACCACTGGTGCAAAGTACTTTCTTCCTAAAGAGCTGACAGAAAAACTTAAGGACCTTTGGTGACAAGGTGGCTTTTTTCCCTCTTACATATTCTCAGCTTATTAAAAGTTACTAACAACTCCTTCTTGCAGGTGGAGCTTTTCCATACACAGTGGGTCGAATCTCCCACGGCTTCAACGTGCGCCCCGATTTGTGTGCCATGGATAACAAGGTGGATCCCAGAAAATACCTCGGCTCATTTTACACAGACTCTCTTGTCCACGACCGTGGGGCTCTAAAGCTGCTAACAAGTGTAGTGGGAGAGGTGAGTTTTAGTGCTTCAGAAGTGGGTGAGTCATTCTTCAGTTAATTTTCCAGGGAATATCAAGAGAAGAAGAGAAGAAAGAAAGAAGAAGACAGTGTCACCCAGTGAAATAAACTGATGGGCTTCTGCCATGTTGATAATGCTTTTACTATATGGATTTATTGAAATGGTGGGTTTAATCCGGGAAATCATACACTGTCAACCTTAGTTCCATCCTTCTCTGAGCTTATTCAGGATGAGACTTCAAGCAAAGACTACTTCAGTTTGGAGTCTGGTTTTCAAATTACTTAATTTTCAAATTCAAGTGCATGCTTGAAGAAATCAAGTTGTATTTCCACTTGAGAAGTTATAGACACAAAAAACATCAGTAATAAGGAAAGCTTTTGTGAGTATCTCAGAGAGACAATTAAAATTATAGGTTTGCAGAAGTATTTTAGTTGTTTGTAGAGAAATCTTTATAGTTTAGCAAACTGTGGTGTTTGTGAGGTCCCCAGGATGAGGTGAGAGATAAGAATCTGACTCCAAGTTCTCAGAAGGCTGATTTATAATTTTATGTTATTATAAAATATTAAAGAATACCATACTAGAACTATACTAAAGAAAGAGAAAGGATGCATCAGAAAGCTTAACAAGAATGATAATGAAAGCTTGTGACTGACTTCTCAGAGTCTGACAGAGCTCATGGTGATTGGTCATTAGTTAAAAACAATTCACCTGTTTGGATAAACAATCTCCAGACCACATTCCAGAGCAGCAAAACATGGAGAAGCTGAAGCATCCCAGCTTCCCAGGGGTAGAAATCCTGGGAATAGAAATCCTTCTTCTATTGCTTTCTTTACTGTGGTACTCTGAGCTCAGGTATCACACTGTAAAATCTGTGGGTTTTCAGTTCATGCTGACCCTGAAGTCTGTAGCTTTGGCTCTGGAGTTCTGCCTGCAGCTCCTCTGCAGGACTTGTGCCTTTTAGGAAAACTTTGCATTTGAAGATTTATGGAAAATCAACCATGAGGCAGCACAACTACAGCTTGAAACAATAGTATGGAAACTTTTGTGACACGTATATGTTTTTCCAATACAGTAACATTGCAGCTCTAAGGAGTGGAGACAACATCTTTTTGGTTAAACCACCCTGAACCAAAAATAGATTTATGGAAGGAGCCCCATAAAATGTGCAGAAAGCCTGCCATGGAGCCTACTTCCATTAGAAACAAGTAAGATAAAACCCAGGTCAATTTACTCAAAAAAGATCTGGAATAAGCTGTTAGTAGTGTAAAGTTCTGATAACATCAGTGGGTATTAACTCAGGTGTCATTTGCCATCTCTGTGCCAGGGATTAATTTTAGGCACCAGATGGTTTACAAATAAAATACTAGGGCTCCCACCCAATACTGATTTTTTTAAATTTCTGTTGCCAACCTCTAAATAGCAAACAAATCATAGTCCACAGCCCAGTAGTTTTTGATATGCATTATCTTTTGAATCAACTGTAGCTTAAAGCAAGTGGCTTTAAGGTGTTTTTTAACAATAGATTTTAAAATTTTACTGTGTGTTATGTGCTCATCCATTCTACAAGACCCCCAAAGGCTTATGGAGTAACAGCTCAACACTTGCCTCTGTTATCTCCCTTTCTGAGAAATCTCCCCAAATCCAGACCATGTTCATTCTAACTATAATTTCTTTGTACATGCAGTTCTAGTACACAAGGATGAGTCTAGCTCTTGAATTTTAAATTGCCAGTGCAAGGAGAAAAGATCACTCACTCATTTTCTTTTACCCATTTTAAAACATTGGGAGACATGTTTTGCCATTGTCAGAAAGACCTTGGTAAATTAGGAGCTGAGTGACTCAGGCTGGCTGAGACCACAGATTCTTTTTGTGATCTGAATCTGTTAAGCTGAACTGTAGATGTCAGGAGCAAAGCAGGAGGGAAAGCACAACACGATGCTGAATCCATTGCTGAAGAATTGAAGTTTTTTTTCTGTCTGAACTTGTGTAGCACACAAGTCCTAGGGCACTTCTGCTTCAAAGTCAGAAGTTTTGCATCTCAAAACTGCTCTAAACTATTGCTGCTGTGGGAAAGCTGCTGTCTTCGCACCACACTTTAATGTCTCTACTTCCATTCTAAGAAGCTACACGTGGATTTTGGTCCTTAATTGTGATTAGTCTTTGCAACTGGAATTTTGAGAAGAGAGAGATTATGGATTGTAAATTGATAATCTAGAAGGCACTCAGCATTAGCCTCTCTGGTGTCTTATTTATTTTGTCAACAGAGTATTAAAATTCATAGTCTTAACACAATAAATTTGGCTACCGTAGTACACAGGATATTGGTATATTCTTTAATTCTCCTCTGAGTACTTTCAGTTCAAACAATGTGACATCAGATGCAATCCCAGGGCTGAAAAGTCATGAGTCAGATACCAAAAACGTTTTTTACACTCGGGAGAACTTTCTCTTTTCAATTGCCTAAGGCATCTTGTCCTTGAAAACAAAAACATTCACATCACGATTTCAAACTTTACTTTATAACCACGAAGATTAAAAAGCTCCCTCTTTTTCTAAGGAAAGTTGACATTCTCACATAACACCCTTCCATGAGTCAAATGCTTAAAGAAACACCAAATATCTCAGTGCTTTCAGAGCAGACGTGTGTTGGCAGAGTAACACATATAAGATTAATAAATGCTGGGCTAAAAACAATGTGATGGAGTCTTGAGGCTGACACTGTAACTTTGTGAGCTGCGGGTTTGAAATAGGCCAGATCTCCAGAGAACAGCTCAGAGCTGTGCAGGAAGGGCTCAGTGTGAGGGAAGATGTGCTTGGACATGGCTTTGTGTCCCTGGGGAGCAGCCACTGCCTGGCACCAGCGCCTGGCGTGCTGGCCTTGAGCTGATCACAGTTAAAATCCACTGACAGCTGGGATCAGTCGTGTCCATTTAGTGTCATCCCTCCTTAGTTTGGGGTGCAGGTTAATTGGGGATGGAAGCAGAAGCACACACTCCTGAGAAAGAATTCTGTAAGAGTGCAGAATCGCTGCAGTCCTTCGCTCCCCCTGTGATGAGGTAGTGTGAGGTGAATCCAAATAAACACAAAATCCCCAACGTTGCTGGCTATAAAAAGTGAAGAACTGGGCTGACATGGGATTAAATGATTCAGTGCATCTCTGCAAAAACTTCCCCACGGTGATTTCTCCAGAGCCATCATCCAAAGGCAAAGCATTCTCTGGCCAGAAGTTGGAGCTGAACTGACTACAGCATTCTGGACTTTTTTTCAGGTGCATCATGGCCGTAGGAAACAAGGCAAAATTGAAGGCAAATACAATTTTTCCTTATGTAAGAGGATGAAGTCATGCTTAAAGCTTTCTGAGATTCATTTTCAGCTTAAGGTCCTTATTACTGTGAGAAAAGTTGTGCTGAGTAGCAGGGTCCAGTGAGGTTAATCATTAGCCCCATGTACCTCTCTAATAGGAGAGATGTGCTAATTAAGGAAATGACCTCCAAGTCTTCTAGGGAAAATTGACTTTGTTGATATGGTTTGGGATAATATAACAGTACTTCCCTTATGCTAGGAGCATTATTCATCTGCAGAGGCTTCCCAGCACTCCTCTGAAGCTGGTTGCTAAAGACAGGTATTGCAACCCCCATTTTATACAAATGAAGTACAAAATTGAAGCTCAAACAGCCCAAATGAACAGCCCAAGATCGCTGGGAGCACAGCAAGAATGCTGCTTCTAAATTTTTCTTACTGATTTACAGCTCTTAATTTTACTACTAATGAATAGATCCCATGATTAGCTGTGAAATACTTTCAAACAGAGGGAAAAATATATCTGCATAGAGAGGAAAAGAAAAACATATATTATTGCAGTGAGGATGTGGGATTTATTTCTGGTTTAGTATGTAGGAGATGTAAATAAGAATATACAAACCTTCCTGTCTTACATGACCTTCCCTAGTAAACAGATGGACAAATTCTATGTTTCCTTCTCTTTTACTTAAAAATCCACTTTCTCTCATAAACTTGGTATGGTTTTTAGTTGGTTTTTTTTTTTAATAATAAAATACATGGCATTTGTTTTTCTTTTGTGAATAAAGCATCTTGGTATTGAATGTTATAAATAAAAGAATATATTTAGGTGCTTCAAAGTACACACATCCAAATTATTTTGTTTAGTCTATGCTCAGAACTAGATTTATTAGACAGAGGGTATAAATTTTCCTATGTTAGTCTTATGTTAATTCTTCTATAATAAATTAAAACACAGGACAGAACATAGGCGAGAACAATAGAATGTGTCTCTTCTGTTGAGATTTGGGCAAAGGTTTGTGTAGGTTCTATCAGAGACTTTTGGGTGACATCTAGTGGAGATTTTAAAAAAATTTTAAAGCAATTGACAAAAAGCAAAAGAAACCATTCCAGAAAATAACTGAATGATGTCTTCTTCACCCTATTTCAGTGTTGAATTCTGGTAACAGAGTCAAATATTATAACAAGTTCCAACTGTGTTTTATTCACCCAAGCAATAGACATTCATGCCTCAAGCCTGGGATTTGTATTTTCAACTTTCTGCTGATGAGAATTAAAATACCAAAACTTCAGTTAGACACCACAAGAATTATTAATAAATATCCTGCAATTTTTTCCAAATAAAACTCATCCAAAAAATTCTTGAGTCATTGTTTCCAAGCTTTGTTCTTTTCTAAGTGGAAGTTATGATCTTCATATTCACTTTCATAATTAATCTGTCCAATATATACATCTAATTTCTTGTACTTCATTATACATTCCAGAAAGCATGTGCTGTATGGTTTAATGTTAATTAAAAAGAAATTTAAAATCTGGAAAAATTAAAATTTATGAGTTTAAAATATAATATTAATGTTACTATGATATTGTACATATTAATATCCATATTATTTAAACTCCATTGTTTAATGTTCCTACAAAATGTAACATTTTTTTTATTACCAGGACAAAGTTATTTTGGGGACAGATTACCCTTTTCCACTTGGGGAACTAGAACCTGGAAAATTGATTGATTCAATGGATGATTTTGACTATAAACTAAAGGTATGATTTTTACATTTGAGGGGTTTTCATTCTTTTTTAAGTCTCTGTATGAGACATGAGATAAAACACTGAAAAATCAGTGTAGTACACTGATTTCTGCAAAGACTGGAGGAGACCCTTCAGTCTCTTTGCAGCAGTTCCCTTTAAAGCACAAATAAAAGCATTTGAGTTAAATATGAGCTAAGCACAAACATATGTATGCGTTTTGTTTTTACAGGATAAACTCAAGGCTGGAAATGCTCTGGAATTTTTGGGTCTTAGCAGAAAACAATTTGAATAATTATGAAGTACTAAAGCAACAAAACTTCTGAAATAACATCCCTGTATTTCTGTTGGCATGTACAATTGTGCAGATGAAAAATAAAACTGACAATTATCTGACAGCCTCCTGTTATTTCCAAAGCAAAAGCAAGGGTACTGGAAAGGAGTATGCAAAGGTATTGCCTGAGGATTTAGGCTGTTTTTAAACAATTCTGAAATCCCTGCTTTCATAATAAAGGAGAGATTTCTGAATTATAATCAATGCCATGTTATTAGGACTTGATTCCCAGGAAGGAAGGAGATGAGAAAATTATGTACTCACTACATTTCTGTCTTTGTTATGGCAGCCAAACAGAATCTGAAAGAATATTAAAACAGAATTTAAATAATGCTGATGCCCAATAAAAGGCAGCATTTTCTTTTATCCCCTGGTGGAAAATGCAGCCCACCACACTCAGCTCAGCACTGCAGGTGCACTTGTGCTTTGTCAATGTTGTGACAGGACGGAAAAGGTCTGTGTGGGGACTTTACATATCAGCTGCTACCTACAGCACTGGGAACTTATTCATCAGAAACAATTTGAACAATATGGGTGTAGGTGCAGAAATAATGTATTTGTGTGGGTATTACTTGGTGTGTCACTGTCACTGTCACAATAAACACTAGTGTTTGGCAACAGTATGGGTTAATGTTCTATTCCTTACCAAATCCTTCCTAAAAGTAAGGCTGAATAGTTTAAATGTTGAAGTGCTAATGCTCTCCCTAGCTTGAGTCCTGCTATAGGAATGGAAAGGTTTGCTTTATACAGCATTGATTGAAACAGGTTTTCATTACTATCCAGTGAGTGCACAGGCATCCTCCTCCCAGGAGAATTGTGCACCAGTCAGAAAAACGTGGATTAGCACTTCCAGTCTTTGTTCTTGTGGGAACATGGGCTGGCTGTGTGTGGTGTCCCCATTCCTCTGCTCAGCCTTGGAACATTCCAGGCAAAACAGTATTAGACAGAAGTTGTTTTTAGCTCTGGCCATAGCTGTCACAGCTGAACCTGAAGGATGCTGAGCATCAGCAGTTCTGCTGATCCCTGCCTCCGTTGACAACAAAGAAAGCTCTGTCCTTCTTTACAGTGCCCAACCCACTCCCAAAAAAAAGAAGAGTGATTTGTGAAGTAGTTGGAGCTTAATTAGTCAGCAGCTCAGAGATTTAGAATATCAATTCTTTACCTAAGAGGAAAAGAAGCGCCAGAAAATAGCTTTAACAACATTTATTGTCCTCAGGTTCGCAAGACTTCTGTTGACCTTTTTTATTTAAATATCCACATGCAGGCATTGAGTTTTCAGCATGTATGATTTTTCAACCAGATTGTTTTAATTAAATTTCAAAGTCAAAAGGCAATTTCATTCTCATATTTCCCTTCAGTATACATGATTCTCACAGATGTTTAAATGGATTTAAGAGGGAAATACATTGTGATTCCTCCAATACATTTTAATTGGATTAATTCTTCAATTTTTTTATGAATGAAACCAGTTAAGTTAATGAAAATGCAATGTCACATCTTTGGGGACCAAGGTCTGGAACCTCTCCAATAGCAAGAACTGCATTTAATTACTTTAACCTGTGACTAAATGGGTGATTGCAGTATCCTGCACGGGAGTTAATTAATGTGCATACCCTGCATAAATCATATTCATTATGCCTCTCATTATTTAATGATATTCTACCTATTCTTGGTATGTTAAGATTTTTAAGACAGGGATATATATATATATAATCTTCCCTTCATCTTTTCATTTCATTAAACGAAGCTAATGTAAAATTCTAATTGCAGACAGATGAGAACATTCTTAATAATCCTCCACCAATTACAGCAGGAATAAAGAATCTAAGTTGAACACCCAAATTCCATGAGCTTTACCCAGTGATTTAAACAATGAGGTAAAATATTGTGCCTTGATTGTTACAGACACACAAATGTGAAGTCCAAGATCAGCTAATTACATGAGAAGTCTCTGAGGTTAAATTTCCTCTGGACATGCAGGATTTTAAAGAAGATATATATATTTGGGAAGATCAGGCAAGTAATTCTTCATATATATAGTAAATATATAGTATATATATATATATACACAATAATGTATACTTTATCAGTATTCTGTCGGGTCCAGTTCTAAGATTACAACTTCTTGTGTACAATTGGCACTGAAGTTGTAAAAGATCTCATGGCGATGCAACTTCAGATGAACAAAACCACTGCAGACTGGCAGTGGCATGCACTGAACATGAGCAGAACTCTCATTTTCATGCACGGTGATCAGAACTTTAAATACCTTTTTGCACCCTTTGAACCCTGAATCCATAAACTCAAACCACGGTTGAAATCCCATCCCTGAACACGGAGTGAGAACAACCTGCACACTGCAGGGGCATCACTGATGTGCTGGAGCTGCTCACCTCCAATGACACAATTCCTAATAATAATTCATCATTTTCTTGTGCATTTCTTGAGTATCCACAAGCTGATATTAGCAGAGACAGGAATTTTCTAGGAACTAGTTGTGCATTCCAAATCTTTCCCTCCTTCCTCCCTTTCCATCTCCTCCTCCAAGTTAGCTGTATGTGATTAGCTTGCATTAAAAAAGGAACCCTTGCTTCAAACATTTTTCATCTGTTTTTCACTTTATTAGGCATAAAGGTATCCAGACTGAGATTAGATATTTGAACTATCGTATGAAACAGATACGCAGTTATGGGGCGGCCAGGCAATGGGACAGGCACTACAGGGAGATGGTGGAGTCAGCATCCCGGGAGGTGCTCAAGGCGTTACACCCGGGCACGGGGCGATGGGTTCACTGGTTTAGCGGGGTTACAGCGGCGGTGCGGGGCTGACGGGCGGACTGGATGCCCTCAGACGGCTCCATGACCCCACGGCCCCATGACTCCACGACTGGATGCCCTCAGACGGCTCCATGACCCCACAGCCCCGTCCCCTCACGGCCCTCCCGCCGCGGCCGCCATGGCCGCTCCCTCAGCCCCTGCAGCCCACGTGACCCCGCCCGGCGCGCGGCCGCCCCGCCGCGAGACTCTATGGCGGAGGGCGCGCGCGGGCTCGGGAGCTCTCGCGAGAGCCGCGATGGAGGCGGCGGGAGGAGGTGCCGGAGGAGGAGGAGGTGTCATGGCGGCGGCGGGCGCGGGCTCCGCGGGGTCCGCAGCGCGGGGCGGCGGCGGCTCCTCGGCCGCGTCGCGCTGGTTCTTCAGCCGCGAGCAGCTGGAGAACACGCCCTCGCGGCGCTGCGGCGTGGAGGCCGACAAGGAGCTCTCGTACCGGCAGCAGGCGGCCAACCTCATCCAAGATATGGGCCAGCGCCTCAACGTGTATCCGAACGGGGACGGGCGTGAGGGCGGCGGGGGCCGCGCGTGGAGGGGCGGCGGGAGAGCTTTTCCCTGGCGTGGGAGCCGTCCCCGGGAGCCCTGCCGATGCTCCGCAGCCCCGGCCGGCGCTCCTGCGGGCTGGAGCCGTGGCCTGAGGCACAGAATGGGAGGAGGAGCCTGGCGAAGCCCCCGCGCCGCGCTCTTTGTCGGCGCTCGGGGACGCGGCTCCCACCTGCCCTCACGGCCCGAGCTGCGCCTCGGGGCTGCTCTCAACTAAACCCGAGCTGCTGTTTTACCCGAAACGGTAAAACTCCTTAGCCGCTCTTTAGTGTGATTTTTTTAAAGGGGAAAAAAAAACCCGATCAGAGCAAGGCCAAACCCTCAAATCGCTGACTGAAATAGTTGAACTGGAACAAAACAAAAGCACTCGAGGGTTTCAGTGTGTGGCGCCCATTGAGGAGTTCTCGTTCCGTGGGTGACTGTGGGGATCCTGGCGTAGGAATCTCCACATGGTCTGCGGAACAGATGGGAGCGATACGTGTTAATATCAGTTAAGGATGTGTTAATATCAGTTAAGTTCTGAAGTGTCACGTCCCTAATCCATTTTCGGCTGAAGACAATATGTTGTGAGCAGTGATTGATATGGAAAGCGCATCGCTTTCAGTTCTTGTCGACAATTTTCTTAATATGTAGTGTTTCCTTCATTTAATCTTCCAGATCTCAGCTTACCATAAATACTGCAATTGTTTACATGCACAGGTTTTATATGCATCATTCCTTCACAAAATTTAATCGAAATGTAAGTATGATTTATGTTTGGTTATAGCATGCCCATAATTTTAGCAGTTCTGACTGAGAAGTGTTACACGCAGGAGTGTGAAGTGTGATTTGTTTTTAGGAATTCTAGCTTCTTATCAATGGTTTAGAAGCAATAATGATACTTGTTTTCAACTTCGGATTACTTTAACTAGTGGTAATTAGATTTTATCTTCTAACATCTAAATGAAAAATAAATAGGCACCATCAGCAAGCACATTTCAGATGTGTGAAGAATACATTTCAAATGTGGCTGGTGTTTATGTGCTGAGGCTTGAAAGGCTAATGTGTAGGAACACACATTTTTCTTGGTGAAGTCAGTGGAAGTTCTGGCATGGTGTGGCTGGCAATGATAATGTGGTTATGGGTGTATATCCATATGGATTATGTGGCTGCTCCTGAAGCAGTGTAAATTGTTTTAGCTAGTCTAATCTTAAGTGGTAAGTCATATTAGATAAGAAAAATTTTACATGTGTTGAGGTAAATCTTGTTTTGTCTAATAACCTGGACATGTTGACTCTGTGTTGTTAAGAATAGAATTTTTCAGTAAAAATGCTAGCTGTTATTGGGGAATATTGTAACAGGTATGGAACTGGAGATAACAACTTGAGAGTGTCAGGCTTTTTTTTTTTTCTTGTTCAATGCTGGATGCAGTAGGGGGAAAAACAGTAATAGTAGTCTAGGTGTTCTTGGGGTTTGTTTATTTTAAGGAAGAGCAGTCAATAGGGATGGTGGTTTGTCATTAAATGTTAAGGATGAGTTTTTTTAGATCTTTTAATCACAAAACAGATTGAGAAGGATGTTAGGTGTAGGTCAGAGCAGACCTTTACCTGCCAAGGGGTTGAATCCTGCAAACCTTGCACTGTCTGCAGCTGGGGCAGGTACACAGGGGGGTACAAGGAGAGCCAACTCTTCTTCCTGTCTTGAATTTGTTCATTACTGTTGGCTGAGCTAATGGGCATCTTGTTTGGTGCCTCTTTAGCTGGAAGGACATACTCATTTGTAGGTACATTTTAGAAGTGTATATAATTATTTTTCATGCAAAATCTGAGCTAAA